TTAGATAGACTGTGAAGAGGAACACAGACAGTTTCGAGTTCCTGCTAAAGCTGGAGAAGTTGATGTCACGAGCCTATTTTGCTCAGTGTTATTAAACTCTTCTGATGATGGAACTGAACAATCATATTTAAAGTGTTTAAAGGGGACCTATTATGCTCATTTTCAGTCACATACTTTTATTTTTGCTGTACTAGAACAGATTTACAGCTTCAGTGTTCCAAAAACACATTATTTTCCTCATCCTGTTCATCTCTATTCACCCTCTGTCTGAAACGCTCTGTTAGAGCTCCTGCGTCTTTAAGCCCCACCTCCCGATGAGTCCACCATGCTCTGATTGGCCAGCTCGCCCACTCTGTTCTGATTGGTCAGCCTCCAGAGCGGTTTTGCCCCTCCAGGTTCCGCCCCTGTCCTGCAGTCTGCAAACAGACCCTTCTCTCCTGAGCAGCTGCAAACTCCACTGTGGCTGTTTCTCCATAATTTTGTTAGAGATATAAAGTGAGTTGCTGTGAAAAACATTGCGATTTTATGTCATTTTTCATGAAACGTTTACAGATTTTCACATAATTCGCAGGACTTAATCTGGACAATGCCAGTTTTTAATTACCCTGGCACAGATTAAGCTCCGATAAGCACCACCATTCAAAAGTGTGGAATTACTTATCATATTAATAAATCTTCAATAATAACTTAAATAGTGTAGATTGAAATGTCAGAAGATACAGATGTAAACAGATGATTCATTCAGTAAAGCATTTTCAAGTCAAGTCAGCTTTATTGTCGATACTACAATCTGTACAGGACATACAGAGTATTGAAATTGCGTTACTCTCAGACCCCATGGTGTAGCAATAACATTAAATAGACAGTAAACAGGAAAAGCATGAATTTCAATAGACACTAAAAAACTCTCTCCACTGCAGCACTGTTGATGGGAACTAAGAGAAGTTAAGACGGTAAAAAATAGTAATATTATGAAATAATAAACTGTAATTATTTGTTTATAGTAATTTCTAGTCATGAACTTAATATGAATAGTTAGTGAGATTTGGTCATAGCTTTTCAAATATGAGGCATTCTGGATATTCAATTTATTATACGTTCATTTTCAGTGCTGTACAGCTTTCTCATAATTATACAATGCTTTACATATAAAACCTTTAAACCATTGAAAGTAGTGATTCTAAACTTTTGAGCAGTAATGCAGCTTTATGTTGTTGCAGCTTTAACTGTGTTATGTTCAGGTTTTGATCAGTTGAATTGGATGTTTAGCTGACACACAGTTAGAAAGATCTGTTTGGGTAAATGACCTGCTGTCACTGCTTCCTGGGTGGTGCATGTGCAAGATTGTGGTAGCCTCAGAGTGTGAAGTCTCCAAGATGTGCCAGCTGCAGATGGACTGGATCTTCTGTCCATTCTGCTGACCTACAGCGCTGCACTAACAGCAGCTGACATCATTAACAGCCACACAGCTCTGAGCAGTGCGACCTCACTGGCTTCTCATCACACATCCTCATCTCTGTACACTGTTTGGTTCTGTTTATTCGTAACTACATCAACAGTTAAATAACGTAAAGTGAAGGACAGCTAAAAGATCTGTGTCCAAGTGTAGTCACACCACGAACTTAAGCCCTACAGGACCTTAAGTCCTACAATAAACAGAAATCTATATTAAAAGCCTCCAAATGATTAGTTTTGATGTAGTCTTGGTTTCAGATGTTCTTTGATGGGTTTTAGTTTTACAGTATTTCTGAAATAAATTCATAAAATCTCATACACTTCTTAACATAGATGTTAGCTTTAGCTATAAGAGCTAACCAATTTAAGAAGATCCAACACTCTGCTCTGACTCTACACTGACCTCTTCACTTTACGGTCACACAGAAAACCATTCGATAGTCTTATAACTCAGCTTTCAGCCTCTGGACACCATTTCATGATCAACTATTACAGCATAAATATTTGTTCATTCTGTTTTCTCAGTAAATCGACCCTCATGCATCTCTACCTTTAAATGCTCAGAGTCTCACTGTAGCCCGCCTATCCGGCTGTCTGAACCAATAGCAGTCCGGCTCTTCCTCGTTCCAGCCTATCAGAGCAAAAGAAGCTCTGACAGACATGTCTCCCCTCCCCCCACACAGCTAGTCAAACAATTGGCAGGTCAAGCTATGATTGACAGCTCCTCCTGCCAGTAAAAAAATACTCAAAGAAGCTTTTCAGATTATCAGCAATATATCAAGAGGGTCTCAAATTTTTACTCCTGGCACCTTTTAATTTGAACCAGGAGCTGGTAACACTTGTGTCTATGACTCCACTGTGTTTGTAGGTCCACTGACTACATGGACGTCTGGTTCCTATCCCCACCACTGTAAACGGTTCTGCTGCTTCTTGTCTATGTTAATAAAGCAGAAATAGACATATGTCTATATGCAGAAATGTGTGAATGCTTATGTCTATATAAGCAGAAATAGAGCAGTGAACCAGCAGCTGTGTTCTAATTTAGTAACGAGGCAGAGACGTGCAGAGGGACGAGAGATGCTTCTCTGCAGCCTCACTGGCTGAAGTTCTTCCTTTATTACCATAAATGTAAAATTACTCTGCAGTGTTGAAGTTCAGCAGATTAAAACAGTCTGTTGGTTTTGTGTGGAGCTTTAGGGGCTCAAACTCTGACCAGCTGTAATGAACTAAGTAACACATTAATTACAGCTTCATTCTGACCTGAAAATATAAACTCTTTGAGTCAAACATGACTTTGCTCTAAAGTACACAGGGTGTCCCAAAAAACTTGAATATCTGAGTAACTACATGTCCTGGGCAAATGAAATTAAATAGGTTTCATGTTGAACAAAACAAGATTTTTTTCGGGACACCCTGTACTATAAACATGTAAAGAGTAATAATTCTATCGCTGTATATAAGCATGGAATTTTATTTTTTAGGTATCTTTACTATACAGGTTTTTATTTTGATTTTTCTTTAATTTGATTCTAAAACAACAGCAGTTTTGCTAATTATAGTCATAAAGAGTGAAAAGTACATCTCAAATGTTCTTGTTTATTCATTTATTTTATTGCTGTCAGTGATGGCGTGTTAATAATGGGCTAACATTAACACCAGTAATGTTTCTTTGAGGTCTGTATCTCAGGCTGAAGTCCAGATGCAGTGCTGTATGTCACTCTGATAGAAACTGTGACTGTAGCTCTCATTCAAATACAGCTTTTAAAGTCTTTTAAAGCAAAACCTTCAGCTTCTTCAGCCGACCACGCTGGACAGACGGTCCAGCTGAATGAACAAGAGCGAGAGATACAGTCATGGAGGACCTGAACCACCGACTGTATACATATGATATATATATATATATATATATATATATATATATATATACACTCACTGACTGTATGTATGATATATATGATATTTACACTCATTGCCTATATATATATATATATATATATATATATATATATATATATATATATGACGCATACACTCATTGATGGTATATATGATACATATATATATATATATATATATATATATATATATATATATATATATATATATATATATATATATACACAACCCCATTTCCAAAAAAGCTGTGATGCTGTGCACAATGTAAATAAAAACAAAATACAGTGATGTGCAAATCATTTAAACCCTATATTATAAGGGCCCAGCCTGTGCCACCGGCCGCCAGCAGAGGGCAATGGCGGCGAGGCGCCACAAGGACAGCGAACTCCAATTCCCAGAAGCCCTCGGGCTGATTAGGCCCAACCTGGCACACCTGTGGACTCCTCTACTTAAGGCCGTGGCAAACAGCAGCGCTTTATCACACCTTTGTAGAGGGGTGACCGGTACGGTACTTAGTTCAGGTGGGTATTTACACTAAAAGAAAACAAAGGAAAAGAGAAAAATTGCCCCAAAATTATTTAAAAGCCCAAAAAGAAGGCTTAAAAAAGGAACGGCTCCAAACCAAACAAAAGTGTTTGTTCCACAAAGAGCAAATAGGTGAAACAGAATGCTGACCTTCCTCTCATAATCACACCACGGATCACCAATCAGGACATCGGCGGTTCAATCCTGGCTCTGAGCCACCTCAACCCCAACGTGCACAATCACTCAATTCATACTCCATCACCTCATTCAATTCATTTAAAAACCTTTCTCACGGATTTTCCTCTCTGCACTTGGGTCCGCTTCCCTGCCGTCCCATAACATATATGTAGTTGAAAATAGTACAAACACAACATATCAAATGTTGAAGCTGAGAAATTTGTGTTTGTTGAAAAATATTTGTCCATTTTGAATTTGATGCCAACACGTTCCAAAAAAGTTGGGACAGGGGTAACAAAAGGCTGGTAAAGTTGTGTAGTACTAAAAAAACACCTGGTGGTTGATTGGCAACAGGTCAGTAACATGATTGGGTATAAGTTAAAATGCAAGTTAAAATGCAAATCATACATAAACAGGATCCAGAAACGCTGCCACCTTCTCTGGGCCTGAGCTCATTTAAAATGGACTGAGGTGAAGTGGAAAAAAGTGTCCCGTGGTCTGACAGATCAACATTTGAAATTGTTTTTGGAAATCATGGACACTGTATCCTCCGGGCTAAAGACCACTCAGCTTATTATCCGTGCACAGTTCTAAAGCCAGTATTCATGTCGGTATAGGGGGCATTAGTGCACATGGCATGGGTGACCTGAACATCTGTGAAGGCACCATTAATGCTGAATGATATATACATGTTTTGGCAACACATGCTGCCATCCAGACGACGTCTTTTTCAGGGGAGGCCTTGATTATTTCAGCAAGACGATGTCAAACCACATTCTGCATGTATTACAGCAGCATTGCTCCAGGGTAAAAGAGTCCAGGCGCTAAACTGACCTGCCTGCAGTCCAGACCTGAACCACTTTTTCGTGCGGATGATAAGAAAAAAAGGCTTCAGTTTGCTAGGGAACATGAAAATTGATCTTCAGTAACAGACGAGACGTCACAGATCACACAGAGTCAGATTTATTCAGCTAAAAGCTCATCAGTGCAAAATGAAGCGATGTGGAGAAAAAGATCAGCTTCCACAGGAAAGAAGAAGAAGATTCTAATCAGAGGGAGCTGATTAGTCGTGTGACGACCTCTATAATAGCAGATCTTCTGGAAGCAGCTTTGAAAACAGGTTATTAACACATATTGACAGAGTTTACAGTAACACAGCACTGTGAAAAAGTCAGAGACCCCTGTCATTTATTTCATTTCCGAACTAAAGAGACATTAAGTACAAGTTCATTTGTCCACATCAGGAAAGTAACAGAAAACCTTTTACTACAACTTCCATACTGGCGTTCTTAGACCAATGGACTGACCACCCCAGAGTCCAGACCTCAACACCACTGAATGTGTTTGATTACTTCAGAAAATGATCAACCAGCTTCTAAGACTGAACTTTGGAGGTGTGTCTGCAGACTCTTTGAGGAACTGAAAGTGAGTCCCCTGTAAAGAATGGAAGCTGGAATAAAAGGAAACAGTGACTCACTGACTCACACAGCTGAGATTAGATTTAGTTAAATATGTTAAGTCTCTGCATTTTTTACAGTCCTGCATGGAGTCAGATCTTCACAGACTCAGAGGAGGGTCAGAAGTGCAGTGGATGCAGTGAAGCCAGAACAGACACTGTAATAATGTAGATCTTCACAGAGAGAAGAGACGCTGCAGAGGACGCAGAGCTCTCACGCTCAGGTGCTGCTGTGGGATACTTTGGTACAATATCCCGAAAATGATAATCATCATAATCTTCATAACTTCTATAACGTCGATACCTCCATGGTCTGATTTCACACACCCAGCCCTGCACATCTTCTGAGTTTCCTGGGTTTTCTTCGTCCAGCGGACACTGACGGAGGGTCTCATTCAAGTGTCCAGTTGTATCACCATCCTGAAGATAAAACATGCACAGTTTGCTAGAAAATGTCCTCATTTTAACATCTTCACTTTAGTATGTTTACATTAATGTCCTCACTTTAATGTGTTCACTTTACTGTCCTCACTTTAATGTGTTCACATTAATAGCCTCAATTTAATTTGTTCACCTTACTGTGTTTGCATTAATGTCCTCATCTCAATGTCCTCACTTTAATGCACAGTTAGTGATGAGCTTATTAGAGTTATTAGTGCTGTTTGGTGGAGTTTGTGCAGTATAATGAGCCTCTTTTACCACCTGAACACTGTTCAGTCTGATATTAACTGGAGTTTAATGCTTGTTTTTTGTTTGTTCCTGTTTATTTCTAATCTAAACGCTGATGTGAAGGTCCAGGTTGTCACATTAAATTATATAAACACCTCATCTGGTGTGAATCAGCCAGTCAGACCACATTACTGGACGTCCTGTGGTGAAACTAATCCAGCTGGTCAGGGCTTCAGTCCTCAGCACTACATCTCTAACTGTTACCAATGAGCTCAATAATACTGAGTCTCACCATGTTCACCCACAGCTTCCTCCCGTTTGCCTGAGACAGAATCCAGTCCTGCAAACAGAAACACACACAGCAGAGTTTCATATGGAGCACATCTACTCAACCCCCCCCCAGATCTAGCCAACTTGTAAAGGGGTCATTCCACGCCTGCTCACTTTGGGCCTGTCTGGACACGCCATTGATTTCCATCAGAAATTTCAAGCAAAAAATTTCAGATTTCAGCGTTAGTTACAATGATGACCGCTGGTGTGAAGACAGATCAGTATGGACTAGAGGTTGCACGACTTCAGATGTTTTCAGAAGTTGGCAGTTATGTGATGAAAGTCATGATTATTGACCAATCGCTGATGACATCAAGAGTAAAACCGCAGGAGAAGGGAATTCTTTGCAACAAGCAACTTTAAAAATCCCTGACAAATCCAAACTCCACTCACTAGAGTGTGCTGCGTCCTTTTCAACAAGCCCTGGATCGCATTGCTAGCCTTCAGCGAACCAGAGATACAGACCCTTATAGGTCCTCTTACTGACCTATAAAGCTCTAAACGGACTCGCCCCTCAGTACCTGCGTGAACTTCTCTCCCACTATGAACCATCACGCCTACTTAGATCACAAGGTGCTGCTCACTATTAGTACCTAGAATTAATAAAGTGTTCTGGACTCATTAATTTTTTTATTAATTAATAAAAAAAAAAAAATGTAACATAGGCCAACATACTGTCATATCTCTGCCAGAAGTGGCCCAAATCTCTTTGAGTAAATGTGGGCCACTTTTGGCTTGGATGCAGTTTGTCAGTGCCGACAGTGGGCCAGTAGTGCCATATGTTTGCCAGTAGTGGCCCATATCCACATGCTATCTGGTTCTTTTCTAAAATTGGCAACCGGACTATTTTTGGAAGATTGATTGTGAGACGACTCTCTGTCACTGCTGTTTCTTTCTTCTGAGACAGAATTTCTTTGGAATTCTTGTTTACCTTTTACTTTAACAGAACTCTTTAACTGAAACCTCCATCCTGCCACAGCACGTCTTATTTCTGCCTCTGCGTAGTTACCTATTAACCATGAAGTGATATTAGAAAGTGTTGCTGGGTTTGCACTCATTAGATAGACTGTGAAGAGGAACACAGACAGTTTCGAGTTCCTGCTAAAGCTGGAGAAGTTGATGTCACGAGCCTATTTTGCTCAGTGTTATTAAACTCTTCTGATGATGGAACTGAACAATCATATTTAAAGTGTTTAAAGGGGACCTTATGCTCATTTTTAGTGACCATACTTTTATTTTTAATCTACTAAAACAGATTTACAGTTTCAATGTTCCAAAAACACATTATTTTCCTCTTCCTGTTCATCTCTATTCACCCTCTGTCTGAAACGCTCTGTTAGAGCTCCTGCGTCTTTACGCCCCGCCTCCCGATGAGTCCACCATGCTCTGATTGGCCAGCTCGCCCACTCTGTTCTGATTGGTCAGCCTCCAGAGCGGTTTTGCCCCTCCAGGTTCCGCCCCTGTCCTGCAGTCTGCAAACAGACCCTTCTCTCCTGAGCAGCTGCAAACTCCACTGTGGCTGTTTCTCCATAATTTTGTTAGAGATATAAAGTGAGTTGCTGTGAAAAACATTGCGATTTTATGTCATTTTTCATGAAACGTTTACAGATTTTCACATAATTCGCAGGACTTAATCTGGACAATGCCAGTTTTTAATTACCCTGGCACAGATTAAGCTCCGATAAGCACCACCATTCAAAAGTGTGGAATTACTTATCATATTAATAAATCTTCAATAATAACTTAAATAGTGTGGATTGAAATGTCAGAAGATACAGATGTAAACAGATGATTCATTCAGTAAAGCATTTTCAAGTCAAGTCAGCTTTATTGTCGATACTACAATCTGTACAGGACATACAGAGTATTGAAATTGCGTTACTCTCAGACCCCATGGTGTAGCAATAACATTAAATAGACAGTAAACAGGAAAAGAGTGAATTTAAATAGACACTAAAACTCTCTCCACTGCAGCACTGTTGATGGGAACTAAGAGAAGTTAAGACGGTAAAAAATAGTAATATTACGAAATAATAAACTGTAATTATTTGTTTATAGTAATTTCTAGTCATGAACTTAATATGAATAGTTAGTGAGATTTGGTCATAGCTTTTCAAATATGAGGCATTCTGGATATTCAATTTATTATACGTTCATTTTCAGTGCTGTACAGCTTTCTCATAATTATACAATGCTTTACATATAAAACCTTTAAACCATTGAAAGTAGTGATTCTAAACTTTTGAGCAGTAATGCAGCTTTATGTTGTTGCAGCTTTAACTGTTTTATGTGCCGTTTTGGATCAGTTGAATTTAGAAAGATCTGTTTGGGTAAATGACCTGCTGTCACTGCTTCCTGGGTGGTGCATGTGCAAGATTGTGGTAGCCTCAGAGTGTGAAGTCTCCAAGATGTGCAGCTGCAGATGGACTGGATCTTCTGTCCATTCTGCTGACCTACAGCACTGCACTAACAGCAGCTGACATCACTGACAGCTTCACAGCTCTGAGCAGTGCGACCTCACTGGCTTCTCATCACACATCCTCATCTCTGTACACTGTTTGGTTCTGTTTATTCGTAACTACATCAACATTTAAATAACGTAAAGTGAAGGACGGCTAAAAGATCTGTGTCCAAGTGTAGTCACACCACGAACTTAAGCCCTACAGGACCTTAAGTCCTACAATAAACAGAAATCTATATTAAAAGCCTCCAAATGATTAGTTTTGATGTAGTCTTGGTTTCAGATGTTCTTTGATGGGTTTTAGTTTTACAGTATTTCTGAAATAAATTCATAAAATCTCATACACTTCTTAACATAGATGTTAGCTTTAGCTATAAGAGCTAACCAATTTAAGAAGATCCAACACTCTGCTCTGACTCTACACTGACCTCTTCACTTTACGGTCACACAGAAAACCATTCGATAGTCTTATAACTCAGCTTTCAGCCTCTGGACACCATTTCATGATCAACTATTACAGCATAAATATTTGTTCATTCTGTTTTCTCAGTAAATCGACCCTCATGCATCTCTACCTTTAAATGCTCAGAGTCTCACTGTAGCCCGCCTATCCGGCTGTCTGAACCAATAGCAGTCCGGCTCTTCCTCGTTCCAGCCTATCAGAGCAAAAGAAGCTCTGACAGACATGTCTCCCCTCCCCCCACACAGCTAGTCAAACAATTGGCAGGTCAAGCTATGATTGACAGCTCCTCCTGCCAGTAAAAAAATACTCAAAGAAGCTTTTCAGATTATCAGCAATATATCAAGAGGGTCTCAAATTTTTACTCCTGGCACCTTTTAATTTGAACCAGGAGCTGGTAACACTTGTGTCTATGACTCCACTGTGTTTGTAGGTCCACTGACTACATGGACGTCTGGTTCCTATCCCCACCACTGTAAACGGTTCTGCTGCTTCTTGTCTATGTTAATAAAGCAGAAATAGACAGCGGTGAACCAGCAGCTGTACTCTAATTTAGTAACGAGGCAGAGACGTGCAGAGGGACGAGAGATGCTTCTCTGCAGCCTCACTGGCTGAAGTTCTTCCTTTATTACCATAAATGTAAAATTACTCTGCAGTGTTGAAGTTCAGCAGATTAAAACAGTCTGTTGGTTTTGTGTGGAGCTTTAGGGGCTCAAACTCTGACCAGCTGTAATGAACTAAGTAACACATTAATTACAGCTTCATTCTGACCTGAAAATATAAACTCTTTGAGTCAAACATGACTTTGCTCTAAAGTACACAGGGTGTCCCAAAAAACTTGAATATCTGAGTAACTACATGTCCTGGGCAAATGAAATTAAATAGGTTTCATGTTGAACAAAACAAGATTTTTTTCGGGACACCCTGTACTATAAACATGTAAAGAGTAATAATTCTATCGCTGTATATAAGCATGGAATTTTATTTTTTAGGTATCTTTACTATACAGGTTTTTATTTTGATTTTTCTTTAATTTGATTCTAAAACAACAGCAGTTTTGCTAATTATAGTCATAAAGAGTGAAAAGTACATCTCAAATGTTCTTGTTTATTCATTTATTTTATTGCTGTCAGTGATGGCGTGTTAATAATGGGCTAACATTAACACCAGTAATGTTTCTTTGAGGTCTGTATCTCAGGCTGAAGTCCAGATGCAGTGCTGTATGTCACTCTGATAGAAACTGTGACTGTAGCTCTCATTCAAATACAGCTTTTAAAGTCTTTTAAAGCAAAACCTTCAGCTTCTTCAGCCGACCACGCTGGACAGACGGTCCAGCTGAATGAACAAGAGCGAGAGATACAGTCATGGAGGACCTGAACCACCGACTGTATACATATGATATATATATATATATATATATATATATATATATATATATATATATATATATATATATATATATATATATATATACACTCACTGACTGTATGTATGATATATATGATATTTACACTCATTGCCTATATATATATATATATATATATATATATATATGACGCATACACTCATTGATGGTATATATGATACATATATATATATATATATATATATATATATATATACACAACCCCATTTCCAAAAAGCTGTGATGCTGTGCACAATGTAATAAAAACAAATACAGTGATGTGCAAATCATTTAAACCCTATATTATAAGGGCCCAGCCTGTGCCACCGGCCGCCAGCAGAGGGCAATGGCGGCGAGGCGCCACAAGGACAGCGAACTCCAATTCCCAGAAGCCCTCGGGCTGATTAGGCCCAACCTGGCACACCTGTGGACTCCTCTACTTAAGGCCGTGGCAAACAGCAGCGCTTTATCACACCTTTGTAGAGGGGTGACCGGTACGGTACTTAGTTCAGGTGGGTATTTACACTAAAAGAAAACAAAGGAAAAGAGAAAAATTGCCCCAAAATTATTTAAAAGCCCAAAAAGAAGGCTTAAAAAAGGAACGGCTCCAAACCAAACAAAAGTGTTTGTTCCACAAAGAGCAAATAGGTGAAACAGAATGCTGACCTTCCTCTCATAATCACACCACGGATCACCAATCAGGACATCGGCGGTTCAATCCTGGCTCTGAGCCACCTCAACCCCAACATGCACAATCACTCAATTCATACTCCATCACCTCATTCAATTCATTTAAAAACCTTTCTCACGGATTTTCCTCTCTGCACTTGGGTCCGCTTCCCTGCCGTCCCATAACATATATGCAGTTGAAAATAGTACAAACACAACATATCAAATGTTGAAGCTGAGAAATTTGTGTTTGTTGAAAAATATTTGTCCATTTTGAATTTGATGCCAACACGTTCCAAAAAAGTTGGGACAGGGGTAACAAAAGGCTGGTAAAGTTGTGTAGTACTAAAAAAAAACACCTGGTGGTTGATTGGCAACAGGTCAGTAACATGATTGGGTATAAGTTAAAATGCAAATCATACATAAACAGGATCCAGAAACGCTGCCACCTTCTCTGGGCCTGAGCTCATTTAAAATGGACTGAGGTGAAGTGGAAAAAAGTGTCCCGTGGTCTGACAGATCAACATTTGAAATTGTTTTTGGAAATCATGGACACTGTATCCTCCGGGCTAAAGACCACTCAGCTTATTATCCGTGCACAGTTCTAAAGCCAGTATTCATGTCGGTATAGGGGGCATTAGTGCACATGGCATGGGTGACCTGAACATCTGTGAAGGCACCATTAATGCTGAATGATATATACATGTTTTGGCAACACATGCTGCCATCCAGACAGCGTCTTTTTCAGGGGAGGCCTTGATTATTTCAGCAAGACGATGTCAAACCACATTCTGCATGTATTACAGCAGCATTGCTCCAGGGTAAAAGAGTCCAGGCGCTAAACTGACCTGCCTGCAGTCCAGACCTGAACCACTTTTTCGTGCGGATGATAAGAAAAAAAGGCTTCAGTTTGCTAGGGAACATGAAAATTGATCTTCAGTAACAGACGAGACGTCACAGATCACACAGAGTCAGATTTATTCAGCTAAAAGCTCATCAGTGCAAAATGAAGCGATGTGGAGAAAAAGATCAGCTTCCACAGGAAAGAAGAAGAAGATTCTAATCAGAGGGAGCTGATTAGTCGTGTGACGACCTCTATAATAGCAGATCTTCTGGAAGCAGCTTTGAAAACAGGTTATTAACACATATTGACAGAGTTTACAGTAACACAGCACTGTGAAAAAGTCAGAGACCCCTGTCATTTATTTCATTTCCGAACTAAAGAGACATTAAGTACAAGTTCATTTGTCCACATCAGGAAAGTAACAGAAAACCTTTTACTACAACTTCCATACTGGCGTTCTTAGACCAATGGACTGACCACCCCAGAGTCCAGACCTCAACACCACTGAATGTGTTTGATTACTTCAGAAAATGATCAACCAGCTTCTAAGACTGAACTTTGGAGGTGTGTCTGCAGACTCTTTGAGGAACTGAAAGTGAGTCCCCTGTAAAGAATGGAAGCTGGAATAAAAGGAAACAGTGACTCACTGACTCACACAGCTGAGATTAGATTTAGTTAAATATGTTAAGTCTCTGCATTTTTTACAGTCCTGCATGGAGTCAGATCTTCACAGACTCAGAGGAGGGTCAGAAGTGCAGTGGATGCAGTGAAGCCAGAACAGACACTGTAATAATGTAGATCTTCACAGAGAGAAGAGACGCTGCAGAGGACGCAGAGCTCTCACGCTCAGGTGCTGCTGTGGGATACTTTGGTACAATATCTCGAAAATGATAATCATCATAATCTTCATAACCTCTATAACGTCGATACCTCCATGGTCTGATTTCACACACCCAGCCCTGCACATCTTCTGAGTTTCCTGGGTTTTCTTCGTCCAGCGGACACTGACGGAGGGTCTCATTCAAGTGTCCAGTTGTATCACCATCCTGAAGATAAAACATGCACAGTTTGCTAGAAAATGTCCTCATTTTAACATCTTCACTTTAGTATGTTTACATTAATGTCCTCACTTTAATGTGTTCACTTTACTGTCCTCACTTTAATGTGTTCACATTAATAGCCTCAATTTAATTTGTTCACCTTACTGTGTTTGCATTAATGTCCTCATCTCAATGTCCTCACTTTAATGCACAGTTAGTGATGAGCTTATTAGAGTTATTAGTGCTGTTTGGTGGAGTTTGTGCAGTATAATGAGCCTCTTTTACCACCTGAACACTGTTCAGTCTGATATTAACTGGAGTTTAATGCTTGTTTTTTGTTTGTTCCTGTTTATTTCTAATCTAAACGCTGATGTGAAGGTCCAGGTTGTCACATTAAATTATATAAACACCTCATCTGGTGTGAATCAGCCAGTCAGACCACATTACTGGACGTCCTGTGGTGAAACTAATCCAGCTGGTCAGGGCTTCAGTCCTCATCACTACATCTCTAACTGTTACCAATGAGCTCAATAATACTGAGTCTCACCATGTTCACCCACAGCTTCCTCCCGTTTGCCTGAGACAGAATCCAGTCCTGTAAACAGAAACACACACAGCAGAGTTTCATATGGAGCACATCTACTCAACCCCCCCCCCAGATCTAGCCAACTTGTAAAGGGGTCATTCCACGCCTGCTCACTTTGGGCCTGTCTGGACACGCCATTAATTTCCATCAGAAATTTCAAGCAAAAAATTTCAGATTTCAGCATTAGTTACAATAATGACCCCTGGTGTGAAGACAGATCAGTATGGACTAGAGGTTGCACGACTTCAGATGTTTTCAGAAGTTGGCAGTTATGTGATGAAAGTCATGATTGTTGACTAATCGCTGATGAAATCAAGAGTAAAACCGCAGGAGAAGGGAATTCTTTGCAACAAGCAACTTTAAAAATCCCTGACAAATCCAAACTCCATTCACTAGAGTGTGCTGCGTCCTTTTCAACAAGCCCTGGATCGCATTGCTAGCCTTCAGCGAACCAGAGATACAGACCCCGAAATCACCAGGATGCACACCTGTTTTTGTCCATGTTGTTAGTGATGTGACTAGTTGACATCAAGATTAAAGCGCAATTTACTGTGCAGTAAAATCCACTAGTCTGTAAATAAGACAGTTTAGTGATGCTCTGTTTTGGTGAGGAGGTTCTTTGGTGTGATTTTCTGGATGTTTTGAGGTAACTTCTTTAGATTTTCCACAAGAGCAGCAGAGAAACGCAACAACAGGGAGGAAAGCAAAGTTTTCAGAGCCAACTCTGCTTTTTGAGTGAGAACAGAGCTCTGAACAGACTCGCAGTACTTTACGCTGGTGTTAATGTTGGTATAGATCACTCCAGTTATTACTCAACAAATGTTTTCCACCAGTTACTAATTTACTATGTACCTATTTTTCTTACTACTTATCTGGAAATACATTAAATAACCTTAAAATATTCTTACAGCAGTCTCATAATGGGAAATGTTAGACATATTGACTAGATTATGATGAATTCACTTGCCACGTAATCAGGATTTGCAGGGTGGTAAAAATATCCATCCATGAAAAGTCGATCCCAGTTTGAAGTGGTGGCGATTCTGGAGTTTCTGTCGCGACAGAAGTTCAGGGCCTCGGTACAGTTCCCTTTAGCCTCCCAGAACAGGTAAAACACACCGTCATGGAGACGCCACAGCTCCTCCCTCTCACTGTCCTCACCTACCACTCACACACAGACACAGATCATCTCAGTCTGACATGAAGAGGTAAAACAGTCTGAGGAGCTTTTTTAGTCTCTTTATCTTCATCTGCTTTGTGTTTTACAGATCTGCTGCTTCACTTTATCATTTTTACAGCTTCGTTCTACAGTTAGTTAAACTGGTGAAGCTCTGCAGAACCAGCAGAATATTAGAATAATTAGTGCATTTATTGTCAACATTTTTTTCTATTAATGAAAGTGATTCCAAACTTCTGGGGACAAATAAAACATGAAATGTGCAGAAGTTCTGAAAGATTTTAGCTGTATCTCATGGTTTTACCCCAATGGGTTAAATTCAGTAAATAAACAGTAGCTGTGATGAGAACTCATGGGTTTGAATGTTGAAAAGAAGTGTGTGTGTGTGTGTGTGTGTGTGTGTGTGTGTTGCTCACCAGAGGCTTTCAGTTCGTTCACTTCAGCACTTTGTGATTCTGGTTTGTTCACTTCAGCAAGTTGTAATTGATTTGCAGCTGCAACATCAAAAAAAGGAAGGAAAAGTTAGTCATGATATTGAAACACCGCCACTCACTGTAACTGGGACAATAATTTTTCTTTTTCTGTTATAAATAAACATAAAATGTCCACATTTTTTCTGTGGTAGGTACTTTTTTAATTTTCCATATTAAAGATTCTTGAGAAAAATGTATGACTCAAAGTCTAGAATCATTGAGAAAAAAATCCTATGATTTGAGCACGGCTGGATATTAGGATTCTTTAAAAAGAAGAGAAGTTTTGAAACAATGTTATTTCTAAAACATCAGTACTGTTTACAAAACTCAACAGAACACCCCAAAACTCATCCTGGTGAGCTCACTCTTCTGTAAACTGTGAATTATGTCACTTTAGCACAAACACAGCTCGATGAACCAAAATGTATCTCTATGAATTTTAGATATTTTCCTATTAATGATCTGTTTTCTGATGCTCTTTAAGCATCAGGGCCAAGTTGGTCTGTGAGGATGTTTTATTTGGTCCATCAGAAGTTTTTCAAAACTCTGTTTTATTTAATCTAGAAAATCCTGAGGTTTAATAAAGTAAAGATTTAACAACACAAAACCTTCAGGTAACATTTCCTTTATCAGGTAAATATGAGGTTCAAACTCCAAAGTACTAGATAATTATTTTCTGTAACATAACAGAACATTGAGCCAGTTTAACTAAATTACACAATAGGTTCTAGATATTAAACGGAAAAGATATAATAAAATATCTCAATGAAATATTTTTAACTCCACTTACTTAGCCAGTAAATGTGTAAGTGGTAAGAACCCAGTGGAACCACTAGAAGAACCTCTGCTTTTTGGCTTATGAATGATAATAATCAGTTATATATGTCAAAACACATCTGTCGTTGCTGTCGGAACAAAACCTGGTATCTCCAACATGGCAACTTTACAGGAGAGGGAAAAAACATACTTCACTTTTAATGTAAGTCAATGGAACCAGACTTTTTTCTAAGTAATTTTGGGTCATTTCTTTTGGTCCATTCATCATGAAATTTACACACAGTGTAAAGAGCAGCATAGTGATGACATTTTCGAATTATGTCAAAAACTGAAAAATGGAAAACAATGGAGACATGAGGTTTTGGTTTTGACAACACGATACAATACAATACTGCTTAAATTGCTTGAACTTGTGTAGCATGGTATTTGCAAATAAATCAATATAGTGACTGTACCTATTCAGATTGAAATAGAATATCATCACTGTCCAAAATAAAACATGCAGAAAAATAAAATAACAAAAGGCATATACATCATTTCAGCACAGCACCCGGCCTTCACATTTTCAAAATTGTTATGAATTTACCAATAGAAATGCTACAAAATTACTTAGAATAAAACCTTTACATTAACTTACAGTGACAGAACAATGTGAATATAGTTTAATAACTCACTGGAGAGTCCAATCAGTATCACTATAACGATCAATAACAGAGTGTTGAAGATCAACAGCACCGTCATTAACCTGCTGCTCCTGACTGGCTCTGTTAGAGATGGACAGAGAAAACGTCCAGCGGCTCATTAGTGATGTATAAATGAATCATTCTGATGACTTTATTACTGATTCTCTGCTGTGTTGAAGGTTCTGTGTGTTCTCACCGTGTGTTGAGTTTGGGTTCTTCACTGTAGGAGGCTGGTGGAGAGTCTGGTACACGTCCTCCGTCTTCACACTCTCAGACTCCACTCTTCTCCTCGGCAGCGTGTCCTGATAAACGTTCATCTACAGCACAAACATCCCACCTGTCTGTTATCAGTAACTCAATCAGGCTGCAGTACAGAGTAATGAAAGTGTACCAACCTTTCAGCGTTAAATGACCACTGAGTGCTGGACTGTCCTCTGCTGAGTCTGTGCAGAGACAGAGTGAGGAACTGTTCTTTAACAGTTATTTTTAGTCAGATTTTATCTCAACAGCCAGTGTGAATCACTGTGGTTAGAACATGGAAAAAAAAGAAGAAACGTTCTAGCCTGTTTCATAGGTCATTGAATGTGGTCTGGTGGTCACGCTGGATGCTGAGAACTTGGCTCTAACTGAAAACCTCATTAGCGTGAGAAGATTTTGCAACCACTTGCTTCTGTGACAGGTCCACCATGCTTTTCACCAGGGGCTGCATAAACAACTCTTATCTTATCTTGAAACCAGTTTTGTTTGCAAACTTAGTATATGCACATTTTTATGCATAGAAAGTGATGAGAATGGTTGTACATTTAAAACTCCTCCTGACTGTGCGTGCCCCCCCCCCCTAGTGGTTAGACAGTGTTACTGCTAATAACCTGATTATGAGGTGAACAAACTCTAAATAATATTCAGCTATTTCAGTATAGGTGATGGAATGACTGGCGTCTAAGGTCTCTATGGAAAATAGACACTTAATGTCTATATGTCTCACAATCAAAGTGATACCATATCTTGCTAATGTTATCAGGTTGCAGATTCTTGGCCACAAGTGTGATTGGTGTGCCAAAATCATGTGACACCTGGCTACATTTACACAGCAGGTAAAAGTGGCCCAAATCTGATTTTCTCACCAAATCTGATTATTTTGTTTGGCTGTTCAGATTATCTTTTAAATGTGATCTGTATGCGACATCAGTCTGAACAGATCAGCTCCTAAACTGACCCACAGAGCAAAAGAACAGAGCGTCACGCTGCTTCACGGCTCATCCAGAGGTAAACAATCACGACCGCCAGCGAACGCCAGTCGCTCCCGGAGGATCAGCTTCACCCAGAATGTGTTAGAGCTCACTGTAAAAAAGGACGCGGTCACTTCTTTAGTTTGAGTCCTCGGATTCTTTAAACTTTGTTTCAGACCTTTTCTTGACGCTGCAGCCCTGTTCTCCTACAGCTGCGTTCCTTTCGAAATCTCTTTGAACATGGAGGGTTTTGGATGAGTGTCTTCTAATTATTTGATACAGAAACATCAACCTAAATGTTTGAGGTCTTAGCCGTGCAAAATTCTGATGAATGTTGAGTTGTATTAATGTAAAAGCGCATGAATTACGATCCGGCTGTTCAGACTGAGTCGCATTGCTGCAGATTGGATACGGACCGGATTCAGTACCACATTTGCAAGCGTCTCAAATCAGAACTGAAAATGTCAGATTCCGTGTGTTTATCTGTTCACACAGACACACACCTGTGTCACATATGAGGAAAAAGATCGGAATTCGGAACAAGTTCACACCTGGTTAAGAAAAAAGGACTAGAGAAAAAGTTGGCGGGTCTGCACCAAAGGAGGTAGGCAAGCGCCTTGACTCTTTGTAAGTTCGTGCCTATAGTGGTCAGCATGGTCTGTGCAGTTTGGGGACAGCAGAGCCCCAGTGCTTAGGCTACATTCACATTACAAGCCTCGTTGCTCAAATCAGATTTTTTTGCTCAAATCCAATCTCTCTGACAGGATGGTTCACACTCGTTTAGGTAAGTGACTCAAATCAGTCATTAATGTGAACCGGCGTCCTGAAATGACCCTCATGAGCTCATCCTACTCAGTAACGTCACGTGAATGAATCACGTTCATCATCAGCACAAACTAACGAGCAGAACGAGCTTCGCTGAGAAGATCATTAACTCTGATCAGCTCTCAGCTTCATTATTAGAGCGAGACGAAGGAGAAAAAGGTGAGATGAGCTGCTTTTCTGTTTGGTGCATGAATTCCGATCTAAGCGTCGCATTAAAGTCACATGGCCACGAATCGGATGAAAGTGGCTCAGGTCAGATTTGAAAAGATCAGATTTGCATCCACACAGCTCTGAAAACATCAGATCTGAGTCACATTAGGACAAAAAATCAGATCTGGGCCACTTTAACCTGATAATGTGAACGTAGCCTTAGAAAAGTGGTGTGGCTGCTGCACTCAAAACATCGAGTCTATTTTTTTCCACCATGTCATGAATACAAACACTACTCACCATGCTGCTTTCCTAATGTTTTGAAGCACCTTACCAGAGAAAGAGTTTATCATGATGGGTGTTGTTGTGCAATCATATTATCATATTTTGCACTCATAACCGTGGGTCTGTCAATGTTTTAGGTAATAGTGACCCTACTGTTCAAACCAGTGAGCTATGCTGAATGGGCAAAATGCTGTGGTCATGTGATCAGGCTGGCTGGTTAGAAAAGGAAACATCTATGTTGTTGGAACCATGAGGAGCCAATCAGTACTAATTCAACATTACAAATTATAACGAGCCCTAAATTTTGGGTCAAACTGCACACGGTATGGAATTATTTTTTCACCTTTGTACATTTTATTTACATTCACACTGGCTTTGAGAGGACACTGATGTTGGTTAAAGTAGAATGGCTACATCTTCATAGACACTGAAGAGATTTTATTGAAATGTCTATTGGCCAACAGAGACTCATTTCACATTGATAATGTATGACGTTTATAAAATTCAACGTTTATTTTATTTCATTTTTTCAGTGTTTGAAGCAGTAAATGGTAGTTAGACCTCAGTAGGATGGTGGTCTCATCTGTACCAGAAGAACCTCTAGGACATTCACACCAAGTGACTCTTTTTATACAATCAAGGTAAACAAATGTGTTTGTGTACATTTTAGATTCTACATGCTGATTAGTTTCTGGAGAGCCTGTCACACAAGGGAAGAGTCTACTGCTGTCAATGTCATCGGTTCTGTGACATGGCCTGACAGGAAGAGCTCTGGAACACCAATTTACGTTTATCAAAGAGACAGTTCTAACTAAAACCACAGTTCTAAGAGGAAGGGTTCTAACTGATGCAGCGTGAAGCTGAACATAGTGAATTTAAAGAAAGTGGGCAACTGAGCCATCCACAGTTAGTTACCAGACTGAGGATGTGAGCCCAGGCTGTCTGTCAGGCTACATTCCAAGGCCTACCAGGTGAGCCACCACAGGTTTTGGGGACACAGGACCCAAGTGCCAAGCTTATGTACAGCAGATGGATGAGCTGAACTAAAGAACTTCAGCACCCGATGAGTCCGGGGATCGAACTCGGGCCCTATTGGTGCCGTTCGAGCGCTCTACCGCTACACCTCCGCAGCGCTGAAAGGAGCGCCCTTATATGGGATTGCCCGAAAAGCTGGGTGGGAAAAGCTGTCTGAATTTGTAAACCCACCTGTTTTTGTCAGGCGGGAAAAAGAACAAAGGACGCTGGGGAAAACTGGCTTTTTCAGAAGCCCAGAGAAAATGAAGAAAAAAGACAAATGACTTTCCCAACAGAAACAAAACAGAAGTTTTTATTATGTTTTGTATTTATTTATTTTTTTGAGGGCAGAGAAGGAGATCTCGAGAGGAGGCTGGAGAAACTGGAAAGGTAAGTGGGAGTGCGAAACTCTCAGCCCTCTCACTAAAATTACCGGCTCACGATGAGACAAAGACACAGCAATGTGTGTCGCCTTCTCTGCGCTTCTACGCCTCTGTCCAGGTGTAGGACGTTGGGCTTGATTGGACCTGGGAGGTGTGCATTGTCTCCCTCTGGTGGCCGGGAGCGCCGCAGCCCTGGAATCAGCCCTTACAGAAAAGGTTTATTGTGACACCGTTCTCTTTTCCTCAGCCCAAAACAGCAGGCGTGGCCAATTCAGCATCAGGTCATTGAACTACAGCCTAATGGTGTCCCATGTATTTGTTGGAAGCCAATAGCATAGCAGAAATTTAGGGGTGGCATTTAGGGGGCTAATCAGATTTCAGGAATGGAGTTGACCACCTCAGCCACCCCTAATAACTGCTCATGAAGACCGGAGGTACCAGTACTGGACTCTCACACGTTTTACCTGCACAATTTACCAACACATTTATCACTATATTATTATTCAAACTTTCAGGATTAAATGATTGTTTCTCTAAAGCAGTAGATGAAGATTTTTCCTTTGAGGTGGAAAACATTTTTGTTTTGTTTAGGAACAGAAGGAGGAAGCAGCTCATGACTCACCGATAACAACCTGAGACATTTTGAGTTTTGACATAATTTAAAAAGTATCTCAACAAGATGAGTCATGTCTAATTTCTGCAACACAATGAAAATGTAAGATCTGTTTCTATATCTCTATAATTTTCATTGATAAAAAAAGAGCAGGACTGGTGAAAGTAGACACTGTCAGACACTCGGAACTTGAAAACAAAACAGAACAGCTAATAAAGACAAGTTTGTCACGGCTCCAGCTGACTAGAACGTCAATTATTACTTTAACTGTAGATGTGGTCATTTCAGGTGAGTGGCTATTTTTTATAGTCATTCTCTGATTTATGAAGGAAATTTTTTTCCTTATTTGAACTGAATTGTGTTTTTTTTTTGAGTCTCATGTTGAAGAGTAAAGTGCTGCTTTCAGAACAAAACTTTACAGTAGAAGGAAAAATGTTTTTAATATTCAGTGTACAGTAATGAAAAAAGATTTTGCCCGAAGTCATTTCTGCCATCTTTGCTTCCATTGTCAAATGTGTGACCACTTTATTAGACTTTATTAGAGTTTGGGGACAGTAGGGGACGAGTGCTGTTCTATTTGGTGACCTTTTCTCCTGCTTTAATGTAGGGAGTTCGGGCAGCCATCTGTAATTTTTCTTTTATTTTATAGTTCTATAGTTTAGATTTGTAACCGTTAGTTATTTTGTTTATTATTTTGGCATATGCCCGTCCCTGAAGCGATCATCCTGTTCAGCTTAGCGTCATCAAAATAATCATGAAGGGGTTTGCTGGTTAAAAGTGTTCTGTGTTTGTCTGTGTCTCCCTCTGGTGGCGTTCAGGGGTCACTGTAGTTTTCATAAAGTGGCCAGATAGTGGAAGCACAAGGTCAGTGTTTCTAATAAAGTGGCCAGCTGCCAGCTTAACAACATAGCTAACAGGGCTGTCACAGTTTCCACTTTCTCTGTGTAAAAGTTTTTGGCAACATGTGGTGTGGTGTGTTGTTGTTGTTGTTGTTGTTGTTAAAACATGACAAATAAGCAGATGACACTTTGTCACCTTTTTCTCTATGAAAAGAACAGAAGATAACACAAAACTCCATCAGTGACAGGCAGACAAATAATTTTACACTCTCATAATAATACTCACATTGAGCTTTAATCAACACTCAGTTGCATTAAATTAAGGAGCTGCAGGAATATGTCGCGGTTGTCGGAAGAAAACCTCATATCTCCAAAATAGTAACTTTACAGGAGAAGAAAAAACATACTTTTGTCTTAATGTAAGTCAATGGAACCAGACTTTTTTCCAAGTCACTTTAATTTCTTTTAGCCCATACATCATGAAATTTATACACAATGAAAAAGGTAATATTAAAATTGTCAAAAACTGAAACGTCAAAAATGGAGATACAAGGTTTTCTTCTGACAGCAGAGATATGTTGTGTAGTGGATATGGAACATTGAGCTCATCCTTCTAGTTCATAGTCTGATTAAATAATCCATTTACAGGACCGTTCATTAAATCACTATGAGAGGAATCCATGGGGTAGCAGAATGGAGTTGTCTGAGTATGTGAAGATGAACTAGGGTGGCATCTACCAGACTCTCCATCAGTCTCCTTTAGCAAAGAACCCAAACTCAACACACAGAGAGACAAAGTGCTGTTACAGAAAAAATGGTCATCAAAATCATCTGAATTTTTAAAGAGCCAAAAAATAAACAGCCCCTGAACGAGGTAAAAAGTTAAAGTCGTTCAGAGTGGTTTGGTGTGAAACGCTCTGTTCTAGAGAAACTCACACAGTCAGAATTGTTCACAGTGGTGGTGATAGGAACCAGACGTCCACCTCTAAAAGCTCCCTCGCAGAAAGTTACTACAATTTTCCATGCATGGTGGAGGGATACATTACAGTCAGGGCGTCCCTAAAGAAAACTTATTATTTCAGATTTTCCACTATTTTCCATCATCAACATTCCATATAAACTCAGAAGACTCGTGTAGGTTCACTGGTGGTTCTGGATAGTAAATAAAATGTCTATATTTGTGTTGTAGTCATGGCGACCCCTGGTTCCTATCACCACCACTGTAAAGACATCTGAACCATTTCACACCAAACCACCCTGAATCTCTCTGATTACATCTCACACACTGAACTAAGGAGAAATTTTGAAAAATCGGTGGACTTCCCCTTTAATTATTGCCATATTGGTTAGTATCCACTAAAACAAGACAGACAGAGTCAGATCTCCACAAACTCAGAGGAGGGTCAAAAGTTCAGTGGACGCAGTGAAGCCAGAACAGAGACTGTAATAATGTAGATCTTCACAGAGAGAACAGGCGCTGCATTAACAGTGGGGTCTATTAACAAATCTTCTGAATAATAATCATATGTATATGAAGAATTATAATATTCATTTCCTTCAAAATGTTCATCATCTTCACCATCGAATGAAGCAGCTCTGACAAGCAGATGACGAACTTTAGAAGGTGATTCCTCTCGTCTTCTTTCACACACACAGCCTCGTTTCTCTGTGGAGTTTAGATGTACGGGATCAGAGCTCTGCCGCTCTGGACACCGATGGACGGACATAGTGGAAAGTCCAGTCACAAGATCATCCTGAAGCTGACAGGAAAGCCATGATTAGACACTGACACACTTTTATTCCAGAGTAATGTCAAAGATCATTAGGGAACCATGACTGTTAGAACTGGGCCTTCAATTCAGGCCATAAATATCAAAACGTGGTCAAGAAACAAAAAAAATTCACCTCTACAATTATGGCTAATTGTTCTTGTAGTGTTACAAGTAGCTAGTGCTAGGCTAACTGCCATTCACATGAACATTGTCTGTCCATTCTAGCTTAAACATGGACAATTTGTAGCTTATAAGTGTGGTATGGATGGAGTTTCCATACAATTCCTCCACTCTTTTGAACAAGTTACAAGTCAGAAATAATATCAAACTTTTTCTTATCACTAGCATTAATGGCAACTTCTAAGAATTAAACGACAAAGTCAAAAACAAGCTAAAATAATAATATTCATTATGTATAAAGCATATTAACAGTGAATGTGCTTTGTGCACTTAAAAATGGAGTTGAAACTCAGTAAGGCAGGAACATCGTTATTCAGTGTGTTGTTATAGTGAAGTTAAGTTTTACTGAATGACAAGAATGTGTCAGTTTTTGCCATTTACTAAAATCTAAGCATACTTTAGTATACCTAAATCAAACAATGGCTACAGTGTATATTTTTGTATATATTGTCATATCTCACATGATCAAGATATAGCAGCATAGGCAGACATTAACTTAGGCCTCAGTATAAGCCTGTAATAAACAAGTAGATACATTTTTCAAACGTGCCACGTTCCACAATGACATAACATCAAGCTATAGCCTATTACTGACAGCAGTACATTTTTCACCTATTTAAACACTCAGGAATACCACAGAAAACCCTCATCAGTAAACACAGATCGTCATTAGTAGAGTAAGACCCAAATACGCAAAGCAAAAGCAATATGTCAACAACGTCCAGAGACACTGCCGACTTCTCTGGGCTCAAGCTCATCTAAAATGGACTGATGCTCAGTGGAAATGTGTATTGTGTGTTATATATATATATATATATATATATATATATATATATATATATATATATATATATATATTTATATAACACACAATACACATTTCCACTGAGCATCAGTCCATTTTAGATGAGCATCAGTCCATTTTATATATATATATATATTGTCTATACGGTAATAAGTAACAGTGTAAGTAACTTGTTAAGTAATTAACAAGGTTAATTATTTTGTTTGTTATTTCTCCTCTTGCTGTTCTTTTCTAGGGTGCCTTGCTCTCCCTTTGCTGCTGTAGCACTGTGAATTTTCCCATTGGACTAGTAAAGGATTCTTAGCTGGTAATGTGCCTTTAATTCTGAAGTGGCAGCTAAATAACATATAAAACTAGCTATAGTGTGTTTCCTGATTGTGTGTCAGCTGCTGTGTGATTCTACATCAAACACATACATCAGAATAGAATGAGCAGGAAGACCTGTCAGCTCATCAGCTGCTCCTAAAACAGCAAACTGATAGAAAAAGCCAGAAAAATACGTTTCAGCATTATCAACAATGTATCGTTGAGGCTGGCCTGTATAGCTGGTGTGCCCACTTAAGCTCCTGCATAGCCTCTATAGTGCTATACTGCTACAAATATTCATGACTGGAGATGTTTGTTTTGGGTTGTTGTTTAATGAAGTCACTAATATTGAGAGTAAATCTCACCATGTTCATCCACAGCTTCCTCCCCTCTGCCTGAGACTCGATCCAGTCCTGAAACACAAACACTCTGAGCCACGATTCCCTCCTGTGCTGATCTCACACTTCAACAAGCTGCAGTTACTGCGCCGTATTATTTCTGTAGATGAGGAATTAACGTACCTTGTTTGTGGTTGTTATGACGGCGATTGTGGCGCCTCTTTCCTGGCAGAAGTTCAGGGCCTCAGTGCAGCTCCCTTCAGCCTCCCCGAACAAATAAGACACGCCCTCGTGGAGACGCCACAGCTCTCCGCTCTCATCTAACACTCAGAGACACGAGTACAAACGTCAATGTTGTTGATTTTCTAAGAGTAAATAAGTTACATCCTAAAAAGAAAACACACTTCTGCACATTTTAATACACAATTACTCATTTACTGGGTTTACTAAATATTTCGGTTTGCCTCCTGCAGAGGATGTGTTCACTTTTATTTCCAATTAAAAAAATCTAAGTCTTTCTGGTATTTTCTTTAAATTCCACTGTTTTTCTATTTACTGTTTCTTTAGATTAGCATGTTTTAAAAATGACTAAACTATAAAGGAGACAAAGCTTTTATTATGTATTTTTTACGTTTATGGCATTTTTTTATTCAGGAAAAAAATGTCTGAAGGAAAAAAATATGCTTTTTTTTTTGCAACCATAAAAATGCATTGTCCAATAACGTAATCAATAAACAAATCTAACTGATTTAAAGTATATATTCTATGAATAGTTATTCATATCTTTACTCAGTTAATATTTCAGCTCAGCACATGCAGAAAGTGATGATTCATTAGTTTGATATCAGTGTAAGAATCTTGTGTGAACAGTTTTGCTTTAACAATGTTGAAAACTGACTGAAAGGTTTTCTGCTCCAATAAAAAATCCACCCTCCAATAAATGAATCTGACAGACTGTATTAATGTTAACTAGTTGATTTAAAGTGAAATATTCATGCTGTGATTTGTGTTTAATTTACACCCAGTTTATTTTCCTCTTTCTCCAGTCTGTAAACAGTTAAACTCAATATTTAATGAGCAACTTTGAAATTACTGGATACAATTTAAAAATAACTAAAAAGTAGTTTGAAATTTTGTAAAGCTGCACAAATTACACAGATTTTTTTTTGTTTGTTTATGAAAATCCATAAAGTAACTGAGCAGGTTTTAGCTGAGTCGGCGTCTTCAGAGTAAAATTATTACTCAATATTTTTTATAAAATCAGATCCATCAACCAAACCACATATAAACATCATGATGCTGCTGTGTTTGTTGCTCCTCACCAGCAGCTCCTCTTCTGCTCACTGCAGTTTGTTGGACTTTTCCAGCTGCAACATCACAGAAACAAGTTAAAGGGGATAAAATCATCCAACATACATTCATCATGAATTCCTTTCTATAAATAACACTGTTGACTGAATCTGAACTGCAATAATAATAATAATAATAATAATAATAATAATAATAATACATTGAAGTGAATGTTTGGCGTTAATCAATTTAGTTGGTCAAAAACTTCTTGTAGCTTACATCTTTTAATAATGCGTTTAAGTTACAGCTACAAAGTCCAGTTTATACAATTTAAGCTGACCTCACTCAAACAAAACAAAATTTAAACAAAATGGTGAATGTTTTTCCTCCTTAAAAGGTCAAATTGCTCAATTTTGTTCTATTTAAATTTGCAATGAAGATTCTGATCAGTGAAGTTTTTTCTTTTTTTTATATAAAATCAACTCTTTTACTTTTAAACTCTTTTCTTAACCTAACCTAAGATGTAGTACTAAAGGTTTTTTGTTTGAAGAACAAAATTTGACCAAAGTTGAGGAATGTATGGAGCTGTGGAGGTTGACTTAAAATTTGTTGACTGTAAAAGAAGTGTGGTCACTGATACTGACTAACATGGAAATGATCTAAATATAAATATCAGTTCTGATAGTGTGACTTACTGAAGAGTCCGATCAGTATAAAGATTGATAGCTGGGGTTTGAAGACCAACATCATCGTCTTTATCTTGTGGTTCTCCACTGACCTTTGTTGGAGAGATGGACAGAGGTGGACGCTGCATCAGATGTCAGAAGGAATTTGGTATTAACAAATTTCTTTTTCGGGGTAAAAAAACTTGTCCATGTGTTGCAATAATGAGCTAAAATTGCAAAACACTATATTTTGTTAACTATATGTTTTAGTAATAAACTTTAAAGTACTTCATCTGTGAAGAGTTTCCATCTGTGGAAAGAGACGTTGGAACAAAACCATCAAACCATACTGTGTTGCAGTGAAGAGAATTTGGTCACTTGAAGAGGAAAATGTTAGTAAATATGAATTTAAAATACAAACCCAGAACATTTCCAGAAAATTTGGGACATTTTGTAAAAAGCAACAAAAATAAGAATCTTTGTTTCGTAATTTGGTAACACTTTGGTAACCAAGTATTTCTAACAGTATATCAAACAGAATACTATGCCAAGTCATTACGGTTTTAAGTGAAGTGTTTTTTTAATTATTTTACAAAAAGGAAAGGAAGTTTGGTAACACTTGCTATGCATACAATGTCTATGAGCATCTATAAACACATTCATAACATGTTATAAAGCATTCATAAAGCACTATAAAATTAGTTACAATTTATAGCCATGTTTATTGTGCATTATGAATTGTTAACATGATGCATGATGCTTATAAATAGTGCTAATAAAATGCATTGTCAGAGCTAAATGGGTCAGTCCCAGTTTACAGAGTGTAAAGAGAGATTAATGTTTATTTACCCCAGTATTTTATTCCTCAGCGCTGGAGCTGCTGGAGCTGTTAGAGCTGCAGCTTTGGGTCTTCAGTCCTGAATATTCAGATCCCCAAACAAGCCGTCCAGCCCAGAGTTATCACTACACTGCGCTTTCCTTACTCAGCACTCTCACTTTAACCATCACATCACAGGAAACCAAGTTCCCATCAGGCCCCTCCCCTGAAACCCCCTCTGACCTCTGATATAGAAATGATTTTTTTTCCAACTTTGGTTGCAGTATTGCCATGAGTATAACCCACATGTGTTAATTCATATTTGATTTCTTCACTTTTATTCTAAAATGAGTACAATAATACACTAAAAATGAGGAAAACCCTGAACATGTTACTGGTCGTGTAGATTCACTGTATGTTCATCTACACAGAACACCTTTTCCACCTGTCTGTTCACAGCAAATACTAAAGATCAGACAAAATGTACTGGACAAAAAGAAAGTGTTTAAAAAATAACCTGCGACGATGGATTAAATTGACTAAAACTGTCTGAGACTCAGCTAGTTTGAGAAAGTATCTTCAGCAAAGTATCACACAAAACAGGAACTCTAAGAAACTCTAAGAAACTCTAAGAAAGTGAGGTTCCGGCGGCGCGGCGGGTAGCTGCAGCGGCCACTTCGGGAACAGAAAATACGGTGCTTTTTCCTGTTTTTTTGTTTACTATCTGTTGTGTAACCCGACCAAAACTATATATCATGACTGCTTCAACCAGCACCAGCGTCTATGTCTGCACGTTCACACTTTGTACTTTTTGTTCCTTGTTGCACCGTGTTGTTCCTGGAGGAACGTAATCTCACTCCGCTGGGTACTGTACATAGACGGAATGACAATAAAAGCCTCTTGACCCTTGACTTGAATTTCTAGAGGAAAGTAAAATTAAGAAGATTTAAAAATGAGAAGAAAGTAAGATTTTTAAAGTGAACAGCAGACTGAGATGCTCTCCACTCAGTTCTCCTTCCTTCTTTTAAAAAAATGTTTTATGTCATTTTTCTTTTCTAAGACTTGCATGCTTCATTGTAAATAATGGCGACTGAAATCACTTTAAATCTAGATAATATAGCTCATATTTCTCATTAGGAGATTGTTGTAAAAATACTTTTCTATTAGCAGCTAATTTTCTTATTTCAAGCATAATTTCTTAAAACAAGAAAGATTTTCTGCTGCGTTTCTTGAGTTATCAGCCAGTAGAAGAAAACATTTACATAAAATTACTTAAGTACAAAAATCTATAACAGCTTAAATAACCTTATAATATTTAACCAACAATTTCATAATGAGAAGTATTACATTCATTAAGTTTAACATGTTTTGACTTGCCAAGATTTCATCATATGCGTTTGCCGTTATACACTTATATAGTAGTACAAACTAAATGCATATATATATATAAGATTCTAAGTTATTGTTGCTTAAAACAAGCCAAAATATAAATACTTTCAATTAATATCATTTCAGGCGGCACGGTGGCGCAGTGGGTAGCGCTGTCGCCTCACAGAAGAATGGCCTGGGTTCGATTCCCTAGGTGTGAGTGTGTGTGTGACTGTGTATGTCTGTCTGTTTGCCCTGATGGACTGGTGACCTGTCCAGGGTGTATCCTGCCTTCTGCCCAATGACAGCTGGGATAGGCTCCAGCACCCCACCACGACCCAGAAGGATAAGCGGTTTAGATGATGGATGGATGGATAATATCAATTCTGATTTCTGTCATAACATTTTTCTTGTTTTAAGGAATCAGAAACCAGCTCAAAAGTATTTTTACTTAATGAGAGATGACTTTGCTTTGCTTGATCCCAAGCATTTTATTTATGAAGGCATTTTTGCTCTTTTTGTGCTGACATTTTGCTGTCAAGCTAATCTTACGTACCTTTCAGTGTTCAGTCGGCTGTGTGTTCTGTGTGTTCTGTACTGTCCTGTGCATGAGATGCAGGAGCGGAAGGAGCTTAACCACTTCCTCAGCAGTTCCTTTCTATTTGTGGCATTAAAGGTTTGTGTTTAGTGGAAAGTTGGTCTGTGACAAGGGTGAGAAGAAAATCAGCGAAGTGACTTTGTACAGTCTTTAAACCTAGTGAGAAACAGAACAGCTCAGTCTGTAATAGTGACAGTAAAAATGTTGAATTTTGCTCCTTTAATGGTTCAAAAGTTCAAAAAGCTGCAATAAGCACTTTTTTCAAACATTGACATTTTATTATAAATATTGCTCTACTATTATATAAACATTACTTTATTATTATTTCTCCAAATTCTTCACAGGCCCCTCATTCTGTAATGGTGTAATGGTGCCAATGTGGAGATGCCACAGCTCCTCTCTCTCACTTCCTCCTCTAATATTCAAAGCACAAACCCAAAAAAGTGCTTCTTGAATTTAAAGATCTTCTGCTGGACTTTACAATCCAAAACTTCCAACTCGGAAAATACAAAGATATTATGCAAATACGCAGAGCTGATGATGGTCCCTCCCAAAAATGGGCACTTTCGCAAATTTTATTTTATATTTTGAAAGCTGCAGCATCACAAGCATTAAAGTTAAGACAAAAAATACATTTAAGCACCTCCAGCACTTTCTGTATAAAAACGCTAGCCAGTAAATGACTAGCAAACACAGCTTTGGGCACATAAAATCATAACATTTCTTAACGTTGTAGAAAATCTGTTTCAGTACTGAGAATTCTTAATGTTCCACACTGATTTTCAGACTTTGGGACACATTTACTTCAGAACAATGGGATCTAACTGCTCACCATGTGGCCATGAGGGACAGGGATGCAGCCTCACTTCCTGCTGTGAAATGCATGGGCGTGGCTAAAATAAGGCTCCGCCCACAGACTGAAACTCTGTTTTAGAGGGACAGCTTTTAATTTAAAACTTAAACTGAACTGAAATAACTCACTGAGTCTGGTTGGTATCAGGATAACGATCAATAACAATGTTGAAGACCAACAGCACCATCATTAACCTGCTGCTCCTCACTGGATCTGTTAGAGATGGACAGAGAAAATGTCCAGCAGCTCATTAATGATGTGTACTGATGATGCTAGCTGGTCTATCATATCACCAACGGCCATGAAAAGACCGAAAGAGACAAAGGTGTGACTGAGCCTTTTATCATAAATAATGATAAGAGAAGTTACTTACCTGTTTCCTGGAGAGAGTGGCGGCACGGGTCATTTGGTCCTCTTGTAGGTCTGCGGGCCTGGATGTGCTTGTATTGTGAACTGGAATGTGACTGTTTCGCCTCAAGAATACCTGAATGTAATTTTGGTTTAGTCCACTGGGAGGGGCTGTAGGTATTTAAGGAAAGGCCAAGGGAGGCTAGGGAGAGGCTCTGTCCATGTTTTGAATGGTCTAACTGATACAAGTAGGACGGCTAGTCTCGCTGCCGACATGCACCCTGAGGTAGAGAGGGAAAACAAGTGAAGTCAAGGCAGGGTGACAAAATGCCTGTCATGCATTTGGTTTTTATTTTATTTTTTTGTAAATAGTTGTGTGTGTAACGAGAAACAGTCAGACGCTCGTGGTTAAAGAGAACAAAAGAGGCTTTACCGTTGGAACCGCAATCCAGGTTCATGGTCACAAAACAAGCGTGGGTCAAATCCAGGAAATACAGCCAGAGCAAAAACACAAGCATAGCAATAGACAAACAGTCCAACAAGGGTCAGGCAAATAGGCAAAGCCCAGAAAACAGGCAAAGTGGTCATAAACTGGGAGATGCCAAAAGGCAAACAATCCAAAGGGTTAGGCAAAAAGGCAGAGTCAGAAAAACAGACAAAGTGGTCATAAACAGTAGCCAAACAAACAATGGAACACTCAGTAGATCAGAAACAATACAATTCCTCACAAATTAAAGCCCAGGCCTATAAACTAAACTAAGAGGATCATATGACATGCAAGACAGGTGAACAGAATCAGAATACCGGTGAGTGAGAGCGCTGATTGGAGCGCGAGGGCAGGTCAGGAGTCACTGGAGTCAGGTGATCTCCCAGAGGATTCTGGGAGATGGAGTCTGAGTGTGTATCAGAGCCTGAGGGATGCGTGGCAGTGTGCAAGTGCCACTGGTGAAGGATCTTTCATGGTACTGCTTGTATTTTTGATGATGCGTGTGCAATAAAGAAACGGGGAATGAGATCCATTTAATCAGCTTTCTGCCCAAACTTCACCCAAAACAAGCCAACAAGGTAACGTCCAGGACACTCCGAGTCCACCCTACTACATATACATTAATCATTCTGATGAGGTCAAGGTTTATTGTCTGTTGTATTGAAGGTTTTGTAACATAGTGTTGGGTTTGCGTTCTTCACTAAAGGAGGACGGTGGAGAATCTGGTACATAATCTGGTCTTCACACTTAGACATCTCTATTCTGCTCATTGGCAGGATGGAGTAACGAAAGCGTACTTACTCTTCAGCGTTAAATGACCACTGTCTGCTGGACTGTCTTCTGTGGAGTTTGTGGAGAGACAGAGTGAGAAACATTTCTTTAACAGTTCTTTTTTTCTGGTTTGTTTCAACAATCAGCATGAATCAGTGTGGTTTGCACATGGAAAGAAGAAATGCGCTGACCAGCTGTGGGCTGATGGTTGCCCAGGAGTTGACAGAACTTTATTGAAAACATCATTAGTTGGAGACCGTTTTGCAAAACACTGCTGCTGTGACTCGTCAACCATGGTGAAGACCAGAAGTGTCAGACTGGGTTCCTTCTGGGTCGCAGCTCCGCAGAGATTAGTGTTTTCCCTCTTCTAGACTCTGAATGCAGCTCAGGAAGCTCATACTGAGCCGATGAGCTGAATCAACACCTTTTCCACCTGTCTGTTCACAGCAAATACTAAAGATCAGACAAAATGTACTGGACAAAAAGAAAGTGTTTAAAAAATAACCTGCGACGATGGATTAAATTGACTAAAACTGTCTGAGACTCAGCTAGTTTCAGAAAGTATCTTCAGCAAAGTATCTCACAAAACAGGAACTCTAAGAAACTCTAAGAAACTCTAAGAAAGTGAGGTTCATTACATTATTATTATTTCTCCAAATTCTTCACAGGCCCCTCATTCTGTAACGGTGTAATGGTGCCAATTGTGACGCCTCCGTCTTCACAGAACTTCTTCAGTTCCTCTCAGCTT